TTGCGCGCGATGTATCGCAAGATGGCGTTACTCTGCGTGATCTTGTTTTTCCCGTCCATAAGGTAGGGCAGCTAGAAGGAAAAGTGAAATAGTGAGCCCAGCTTGGTTTTGCCTCCTCCACTCTTCCGGAAAAAGAGACTTTGAAGGCAGGAGATATCAGATAATAGAAGCTAGGGAACAAACACCTGATTCTAGACAAGGGCGCTTAATTTTGTGTGTCAGTGTGAATGTATGTGTATACCATGTCGACTTTCTCAGATTACTTTTTAAAAAAGCAAATTGTAACTCTTTTTATATTTAAAAGTAAAACTGTAAGAGTAGTGTGCTTGTGGACACATTAAAGAGCACTTAGTAAATACTGGGACACATTCAGGAGAATATGGAAGTATCTGATTTCTGTCAGTGACAAAGTCACAGACCTGGCTAGTAACTAATGTCTTATGAGAGAGGAAAATGTTAGTGTTTGATAGTCATTAGTGGGAATTAAAATGTTGCTCTCCCTCCTGTTCAGTGGCCCTTGAATTCTAGCCATTCTCTCCATGTGAAGCGCCTCCATTCTAGATTCTCCCAAACCAGAGATGAAGTAAAGGACGGATAACTAGAAGGCCTTCCCTTCTGCCCACTCCAAAGCCACCTACGTTAGGAAAATCCAGATCTAGTTTGAATTTCACGTCCAGCCACTGGCTTCTATCATAGTCAGGAGCTGTAAGAGAAAAGTGGGACCCAACTCCCTTACCAAGCTAGCCGAGAAATGACTTAGTCCTGATACTTCAAGTTCCCAATCCCCCAAATCTAACCCTTGGGTTTCTGCAGCCTCCGTATTAAAATGGGCTTGGGCAGCAAGAGGAAACCCCACGGATGAGTTTCTCTTGGCACAGTTCCCAGCTGACTGGAGCAGGGGACCCATACGAAGAACTCGGTGTAGTGTTCCTCTCTGGGTGAAAGACATTTGGAGAGCCACCCTGGCCCAGTGCAGAGGGCCACTGGCACCCACAGAAGTTACCTTCCCCACACGTGTACCGTTTCTCCTCATAGCAGGTATCAGTATACTCCAGGAGCATGCGGATGGCATGAGCCAGCTAAAAGTAGGGTACAGAGAAGGACCAAGGTCAGCGCGCCTGCGTGTACCCACTGGCTCCCAACCCCCGCCCGGCAACGTCCCTAGCCCAGCGCCGCCAAGCCCCTGCCTCCCGTCGCGGAGGGGGGGGAGGGGGCAGGGGGAATTGCCGTTAAGCAGCCCCTTCGCTCTGGTCCCGTCCCGTCTCCTCCTCTCCCCACCGGCCCGGGGACCCCGTAGGCTGGCCGGAGGTAGACCTCCGAGGGCAGTTTAGCTGATGTCGGCCACAGCGGGAGGCCGCTTCCCCACCGGCTGCTGCCCACCCCTCCCCACTCCCCCTCCGGCCAGCCGCCTGCATCTGTGCCCCAGCGGCTGGGCTGACGAGGGTCCACTCACTCCGCGAATATCCCAGTAACCCAGAACCATAGCCGATTTTGACGACATCTTGAAAGATCTGAGCCCCTGCAGGGATATGCGAAGGAATGTGGGCGCCCAGCTTTATACCGGACGCTGTGGGCGGGGTCAATGTGGTCGGACTGGCTCCTCCTTCCTCGTTCTGTGCTTCACCCGCCCTCCGCGTGGTAACTGGGCCACGCGCACGCGTGGCTCAGGCGCCAGAAAGCTTATGGTGCGAACTTCCTCCACCGCTGTTGATGCACCCACAGCCCGGTGGTAGGGACCTGGTCCTTAGTTACTTGGGGACCGTGAGAGTCATGCCGCATAATGAGCTGGCATTGGTCAGCGGAATTCTAACCACAAGAGAACCACTGTCTTTGGTTCCCTTGGAGAGACACGTGAAGAGCTGAGAAGGAAAGCATGATAACAACAAGAAGAACTAATAAATCACTTGGACACATAAAACTGTGAGCTAGGAAATGATTATAAGGCAATACCTAAAGTACTTTGGGGGTAGAAATATCCTCTGCCTAAAGTACAGAGTGGCTCTTCGAAGGCTTAGAGGGAGACTGTGGACACTGAGCAGGGCCACTGAGAAAAAGGAAAGGTTATGCACACTGGAAATTCCTCAAAGGACAGCCCAGGCAGGAGAAGGGTAGAACTGAAAGGTGGGAGATCCATGTGCAAGCAAAAGGCAGGTAGGTGTTGTTGCGTTTGGCTGATTTATACAGTTGTGATAGACGAAGACATTGAATGTTAAGTACTTGGCAGCAGGTTGCCAAAGGGTCTTGACTGCCAAAGAGAGAATTTGAGGGTTTTTTCTCTGCTCTGTGAGAAGTATATAAAATCTAGATCACGATGTCCACTACAAGTACAATGCATGACACACATGATTTTTTAAATGCTCTAATAAAGCATACTTTATTTAGCCCATTATATGCTGTTTCAGAATGTAATATGAAAATTATTAAGATGTGTTATATTGTTGTTTTAGTATCTCACATTTAAAACAGACCTCTATTAAAACTAGTCTTATTCTTATGCTCAGGGGCCACCTATGGTTAATGCGTACAGATCTCGATGCTTTGATGAGATGCGTGACACTTCCAGAACCTTCTTTAGGAATCTGATATAGCTTCTTTCTGTAGAGTAGGCTGGAGGGGGGGAGAGTAGGATGCTCTACTGTTGATTTGTGTACCTATGTGGCAGGGATCTAAAACTGGAATCAGCAAGCCGAAGTCCCTGCCCTGGAGGAAATTACATACTAATGGGGAGAAACACAAACAAACAAATATCAGTGTATAGTAAGCCGGAGAACACACACATATTATGGAGTGAAACAGCAAAAACAGTATAGGGAATGGGGATGAGCTGGGGGGGCTCCAGTAGGAAGGGGACTTACTGTAGCGGGTCCTAGTGAGGTGTTAACGCTCTGGCTCCTGTGCTGGTGCAGGAGGCAGAGAACTCCAGCAGAGAACTGTTCAGCAGGCAGGGAGGCATCATTGTGTAGTCAAGGTGTGTGGGCTCAGACTGCTGTGGCACAACATTTAGAAGTAGGGGGATGAGAAAGGACAGAGAAGGAGGCTGAAAGAGTGGCTGGTGTGCTGAGGGGGGGGGAAACCAGGTGTCCTGGAAACCACGGGAAGACACTGGAAGGACCATTTAATGAAGTCTGAGAATTAAAAATTGGGTTTAGTGACATAGGCGGTATAGTTCCTACAAGACAGAGTAAGATTTGTGGGGGGCTGCTGCGGTGTCAGGAAGAACCTAGCTTCTGTGTTCATTCATGGCCCCGAAGACTGGAAAAAGAGCCCAGACACATAGCACTGTCAGGACTTGGCAGGCAAGGGGATTTGGGAGCTATTGTGGAGGAGGGGGTTAGGAGTCCAGAGTTGCTCTGTTCACCCTCCACAGCACAGCTATCCGGGACCCCTAGCACTTACTCCTGAAGTCTGGGTGGTGGGAAATCATGTTTCCCCATAGTTTAGCTGAATCAAACTTCAGGTTTTGTAAAAAGATGTTTTGCTGAAAAAGAAGAATCATTATAGAGACATGTGACTCTATAATCCTCAAATTAATTTGAGGCATGAGACTAAAGTGTACAGAGCATCTCAGTGTGTTAGGCAATGGCCTAGGCATTTCACTTGCAGCTAATATATTCCAATTCAGGCTAAATAACTTTGTGCAGGAGGTTTCTGCCCATCTAAAGGAGAAGGAGTGGAGGCCTGGAGAGCCACTCAAGTTCCCTGGGTGGTCCAGGATTCAGATTGGGGATGGTCTAATACTTTCACTGGTTCCACTGTGCTTGGCTAGCCATACAGCCTCTTACCCCACCACAGTCATTTCTAGGAAGTCAGGGGAACTCTGGGATAGTTGTCCCTGGTTTTCAGCTCTAAGACAGCTAAGGGCAAGGGATTGGTATCTGATTGTTTGCCCTTGACAAGTCAGACTCTGAAGGCTTCCTCTCTCTCTCTCTCTCTCTCTCTCTCTCTCTCTCTCTCTCTCTCTCTCTGTCTGTCTCTCTCTGTGTCTGTCTGTCTGTCTGTCTCTCTGTCTCTCTCTCTCTCTCTCTCTCTCTCTCTCTCTCTCTCTCTCTCTCTCTGAGGAAAAGGTTTCGCTTTCATAGTTTGTGTTACCAGCTATAAGAGATAACTTCATGAGGCCAGGAAGGTGGGTGAATGACAGAAGACATCTGAAAACATGGTACTCAACTCCAGATGATGTTTCAGTCTTAGATTAAATTCAGCATAGCTTCTCTTCTGGGGATAAATGTTCATTTCATGAGTTTGGAGACTGAGGTCAGCTATTTACACTGAAAGATAGTAAACACCACACACAATCCAGAAGCTTCACTTAACCTGAGGACAGAGGTACAGGGAGTGGACCGATCGGCCTGAGTTCACACAGTGCACCTGGGAACTTTCACCGCCCAGTGCAATATTCCTGTGCTCGGCCACAGGACAGGTGGGAGGAAACTCAAGACTGACTCACCTAATAAACGTTGGTTGAAGTGCAAGTTCCCAAGGAGAGCATGCAGGACCTCACTTATTTGTTCACGTTCCTCTGGATCACCAGCCAGTGTGAACAAAGCCTGCAGGTGTCAGCAGAGTGTTCTCTGCTGCTGTGACATACCATGCCTTCAGCTGTACTAGGAGCTTTGGATTAGACTGGGAGCCATGTTCATAGAAGGATAGCAATGATGAACATAACCTCATTTTGGAGTTTATTCAGAGAGGAGGAAGAGAACGGATCATAGTCCCCAGAGGATCCCGGTTCCAGTGAGCGAGCTCTATAGCTCAGTCTGTCCAGTAGAGGTTGTAGGGTTGTTGCTTTTTCATACCCAGTCCCTGCTCCCTGCCTTTGGTTCCCACCAGGCCCAGAATAAACGGCAAGGGGAGAGGCATATAACAGGCTTAAAGATGCTTTTTATTGGACAGGAGTGAGACTGAAGAGATTAGGAATAAGACTATGAATAAAGCATGCCAAGCTTAGGATAGGGGCAAAATAAATAGTAACTGGAGAAGGGTTCCAACCCAACCCAGCCTCAAAGTCTGGGCTGTTTCACCTTCTTTGCTGTGTGATCTAGGACATGTGGCTTGCCACAAACTGAAAGAGGACTTCTGAGGGCTCTAATTGGGTGCCAAATGTGTCATCTTGGAGACGAGAGGTCCTTAGTCTTGGAGGTATTTGAGCTGGTATCTAATGACTCATCTAAAGGAAGAAAATATTCATATGGAACTAAGTGAGGGACCCCCAGAGTTCATGCCGCTAATATGATTAGAGCTGCCAGACACACCTGAGTGGAGAAGATGAGACCCCAGAGGAATACCCCACACCTAGTGTTCCCAGCTCTCACTTTCTCAGCCCAGGGGGATTTAAAATCTCTGAGTGGGAATCAAGACCTCACCCCCAGCATCCTTCTGACAGCATCCAGACGGGCCTGGATCCGTGAGGCCTCCTGTGGACATAGCATCTGCAGCTCCCCGAATCTCATGTGAAGTAGCTGGTTCCCCATCAGGGACCCAAGGGTCCTCACAGTGCTGTAGGTAACAATGGTGGAACCCACCAGAGGTGGGGTGGGGGAATACTTAACCTTAGTATTTGTGTAGAGAAGGAAAGCGGGGGTTACAGGAATTAGGTGTCTGCAGATACAGGAATAAGTCAGTTATGGAACTCCTAGGTTTGAGGACATGATCGCTTTAGAAGATAATGTTCTGGAAGAGAGGGATGGTGAAGGTGACAGCCCAGGTTCTTCCAGAATTCACTATCCTTGATCCCTGCTCTTTCCCTACATATGGTCTCCCTACTTGGCACCCTACCCTGGGCTCAGAGCAGCAACCGTCTCCTGTCCTCTTCTGTTTAGCAAAGAAAGCCTCTGACGTGCAATGGAAGCTAGGTTGCATGCTTAGGTTTCTGAGGGGGAAGGGCTCTGAGGTTCTCACCTGAGCCCTTTACAAGGCTCTGCCCTCCTCCCCCATGGGACTGGGCACTCACACAGTGGAGAAGTTCTCTGCTTGTAGCCAGGCTGTGACTTCCGCAGGCTTTGAGCTGAGGCGAAGCATCGGAGCCTAGAATCAAGGATACTTGGGGGTCAGCAGTCATCCCTCTAACAGCCCTGGACAGCCTCCCATATTGGGTCTCTTCTATTGCGATCCAGGAAGCCACTCATCTTACCTTCTGGTTTTCTGGTTTGGCAGGGACCCTGACTTAAGTTTTGTTCACACTCCTCAATGAACCCCAGAAGCATGCAGTGATACAAATTAAATTGATTATCTCCATTTGTCACCTAATCCTCCCTGCTACCACCTCTGACTCAGCAGGACTCAGGGCTTCTGGGTACCCTAGGCTGGTTAGTACCCTAAAGGATGATGGTCTGTGGCTTCTAGGAACTCCAGCCGGCAGGGGCTCCAGGATGTTGCTGGGAATGTAACCAGTCAGTCCTGCTTCATTCCTCACCAGCCACCACCGCTTGCTCTGGTCCAGAACCTGCCAAGAATCACCACATCAGCCACCTCTGTCTTCCCATCCCCTCTGTCTCCTTGTCCTTCCCTGGTCTTTCCCACTCTCCTTTTCTCTGTACACCACCCATTCCTGGCTAACCATACCTCCCACCAACCATCTCCTTTTCTGGCTTCGAGCCCAGGCCTCACCTCCAGAATCTCTCCCTGTGCCACAGTCAGTTCCTGTGCATTCCTTGCTTCAAACTCATACAAAACTTGCATTTTCAGGGCTGCTTTGGCAGGGCTGGGGCTGGAAGGTGGGAGGTGTGAGTCCTCATGTTCGGAGCTATGGTTGTATGGCTCATCCTGAGGGAAGTGTAGGCTGCTCCTCATCCTAGAACCTCTGAGTTGAAGTGAGAGACAGAGTCAGGATGGCTGACAAAAGGGAACGGTGTCCCTGGCCCAGCCTCAAGAGCCTGTGATAGCTCCCAGCTGGGGTCTGTTGGTGACTTTTTGGGCTTTCATAGGGTTTTGATGGCAATAGCATTAGGTGGGGATTGGGATATGAGGTTCTGCAGACAGGAGGGACTCTGAAATATTGTTTGTCTCTGAGAACATTTCCAGAAGTGTCATTTTCTAGATCTTGATTCTGCTCTGAGTATTTTATCCCTGAGCTGTGGGGACTCAGAGGCTACAAGAAAAGGAGGGTTCGGAGGTTAGGAGGAAAGAAACTCTGATTACACCCAAGGTACAGGAGAGGCATCTTTGCACATGTCTGTATCTGATGAAGGGAAAGTGCAGATGGTCTCTGTGATATAGTGACCCATGGTGTGAAGGCTCTGCACTGTACTGTCCCTGCCCCACCCCCCGGCCCGGTCAGGTGTGAAGGCTCTGTTCTGTGCCTCTCTTCCTGTTAGGTATGAAGGCTCTGCCCTGTACCTCCCTCCCTGTGACTGTGAGCATCCACTAGGTACATTGCATACCGGAGGGATATAGAATTCTGGTGTCTTAGGGGTTCCTGTAAGAAACAAAACCAGAGTGGGTTAGAATAGGAGGTAGTCAGTGCAGTGACAAGGAGGCAGTGGCCATCACAGGCCTGCAACAGCTGCCTCTTGTCCATTGTCTACTTCCCCAGTAGGTACCCATATGACCCACCCCTTAGTTGTCATGTGGTTTTGACCTGGACCGGAAGAGCTTTGTGAAGGTCTCAGTGCTAAGCAAGCCTTACCATGGAATAGGGCTCTGGGATCTGCCAGCCATCATAGAATGTGGGTCGGTAGGGTGGCGGTTCACTGCCTGTCCAGTTAACCCTGAGGGAAGAACAAAGCTGGGTCTATTGCCACTGTGTAAGGCTGTGGGATGTGGAGAGGGGGCAGATGAGAAGGCCTAGCCTCAGGGATCTGTGGCTAATGGAGACGTGGCACATGTATACAGATGAAAGGCCACAGAAAACCCACAAAGGACCAAATGGCTAAACAGGAACAAGTCTAACAGTGGGCAGCCTCACCTTAGTCCCTAGGGTACAGCTGTGTCACACAGTGGACACTTGGTCACCCTCATTAAAGTTTAGAATTAAAGTGGTATAATCTGAAATGTTGGGGCTAAGAGACCCCTTTGGGGACTTTGAAAGAACAACCCCACCTCATTTTATTTATTTGCTTATCCATCTATTTATTTATATTGAAAATGTTTTCTATAAAATACATTCTGATTATGGTTTCTTCTCCCTCAACTCCTCCTATCCTCCTAGATCTTTCCCTACTCCCCAAGCACTCAAATCCACACCCTTTCTTTATCTTTCACTAGAATACAAGCAGACATCTAAAAAAAAAATGAAATCAGATAAAATAACAACAAAAACAGAATAGGAGATAAGCAAACAAATATAAGAAAAAGAGCCAAAGAAAAGGCCCAGGAAACAATATAGAGTTGTGGCTCACATGTACATATATACAGAAATCCGATAAAAACACAAAACTTGATATAATACCTGTAGGCAAAAGGAGGAGGAAGAGGAGGAGAGTAAGAAGATAATGAAGAAGAAAGGATAAGAAGAAAACAGAGGAGAAGAGGAAGAAGGAGGGAAAGGGGGAGGGGAGGAAGAGGAAGAAGAAAAGAGGAGGAGGAGGAAGAGCCCTTCCAAAGTATTATGTGACAAAGAACCTTCTAAAATGCCATGGCATTGATTTCATTTTGAGTTGGCCAACTACTGCTGGGCCTGGAGCCTGACCTTCAGAGTAGTTTGTATGGAGCCGGTGAGGCTCCATTGGAGAAAACTAATTTTTCATCTGTGAGTAGTTATCATTTGGAGACAGCTTCTAGATCTACTTCCTCTCAGCACTGGGGCCCCATCTGGCCCAGATAGACCTCTGTGCATGCTGCCACTGTCTCTGTCACACCCCCTTTAAAACACTTTTATTTTTGAGACAGGGTTCACTGAATTATCCAAGCTGGCCTTGAACTCACTCTGTACCTCTGTCTGGCCTTGAACTTGCAATCCTCCTGCCTCAGCCTCAAGGGTATCTGAGATTTCAGGCCTGTGCCACCACACCTGGTCCATCCAGTATTTTTCTAACCTGTTTGCAGCTCTCTTTCCTTCTTGCTAAACAGCACAAAGAACTTCATCGTGGAAGACAATCACAGTGGGGCTGCTCTGCCTGATGCAAGGATGGGGTTCATATTAGCCTCTTACCTCCCCCTTGCCCACAGCAGGACTGTGCCATTGTGGAGTCCAGGCTTATCTGCCTGAGAACACTCATTTACCTTTGGAAGTTCCTCTCCCTGCCTCACCAGGGCAGCTGCAAAACTTCCCTCTGAAGTTAGTGTAGCCGCTCACTGGTTGTCTGTTATGTTATACTTCCTGGCTGGGGGCAGGGCTGTCTTCCTATCACTATGTCTGAGGCTTAAGTAGTAGCTAACATGTGCGTATTCATTATAATACATACTTATACATATACTCCTACTTATTCAGCAGGAGTAAATTCTTCCTCACTGGTGTGTCCTAGAAACATGCTCAAGTTACAACCTCCTTTGCACCATGGTCCTGACTGTCTCTTTACCAAGCCTCCCGGAGATGTGCTTTGATGTTGTGACTATACTTTCTTACCTCTGATTGCAGCCTCTACCATTACTGTACCGACATCGATCCTTTGAAAATCCTGACAATCAGGCTTGAGATGTTTTCTAGCTGAGTGGTGGACTGCTTGCCTAACATGCTCAAGGCCCTGTGTTTGGGCTCCAGCACCAGGGATGGGGTGATCCTGATAATCTCCTGGTCACCAAATCCAATGGCTGGTAAGTTCCCCATTTTTCTGGATTACCCCACCTTTTAGTGTTACTTATAACTTTGGGTCATTTTATCTAAAACCAAAGCACCAAACTGTAATTTGACCAAAATTCAGCTCTTCTAAGGGCTTTTGCATGTCTTTTATTTTCTGCATTTCTTTCACATTCATCTATTCACTTCTAGTTATTTTAAGAAATTAGGACTCTTCTAAGAGCATATCTGACTTGATAGATTATGAAATTTGTGCCATTATATTAATGCTGGGCTTGTGCTGCTTCTTCATGGATATTGCTAACATTATATTTGCTGACCAAGTTTTCCGGTGTTGCAAATGTGTGTGTGTGTGTGTGTGTGTGTGTGTGTGTGTGTGTGTGTGTGTGTGCTCTCAAGTGTGTGTGGTACAATGCACATCTTGGTGTGGGGCATGCACATGTGAGTGTGTGTACTTGTGCATATGGAGGCCAGAGGTTGACACCATCTCCACCTAACTTTGTGAGACACAGTCTCTCATTTAACCTGGTGAGCATCTCTTTAGGTAGGCCCGCTGTCCCATTCCAGGGACCCGCCTCTCTCTACACTGACTCCCCCACTGAAGTACAGACTTGCTGCCATGTTTGGTCTTTATGTGAGTGCTGGGGATTCAGGCCCTCGTGCTTGTACAGCAGGCATGTTATAGACTATTTCTCAAAAATTGAAAAAATACTGGGTTTGAAACATAAAATGACACACCTAATGTTTCAGTATATTTGTACACTGTGTGAAGATGTGTTGCTGTGATGGGTATAATAAAAAGATGAATGGCCAATAACCAGGCAGGAGAGGATAGGCCAGAGTTTCAGGGAGAGAGAGGAAGAGGAGAAGTAACCTAGCTGCACAGAGAGATGCCAGCCAGATGAGGAGGATGGGCAGTACAGAAGATGAGGTAATACCCTGTGGCAGAATGTAGATTAATTAAAATGGGTTAATTTAAGTTATAAGCTCTGGTTGAGGACAAGCCTAAGCTAGGGTCAAGCTTTTGTAATTATTAGTAAGTCTCCATGTTGTTGTTTGAAGGCTGGTGGCCCTGACGAAACAGTACTTCTACAACCTGACGTAGATAATCGTTGTTAAAGGGGCTGAATGAAAGCATTTGAAGCCTGTTTCAATCCACCACAGACCCTGCTCTCCTCTCTGGCTAGTATTACACATCAGAGCTGTCCCCATGGGTGACAAAAGTTCAGTGCAGCTACAGGATCCAGGGTCTAAGACTCTGTGTGTGTGTGTGTGTGTGTGTGTGTGTGTGGTCAAGAATTTACACATTCCTTCATCTTAGCGACTAGACAAATAAAGCACATAAAATAGATCATTTGGGTTTAAGCAATCCAAATGCCCACTGATGAATAAAGAATAAACAAAATGCAGCTTGACCATACAATGAAATATTAGTCAATCACAAAAGGAAGGAAATTCTGTCGCATGCTAAAACATGGGTGAATTTTGAGATCATACTGCTAAAAATCAGCCGGTCACAAAAGGATGACCCATGTCTTATTTCACTTACATGAAGTCCCTAGAATAGGCAAACTGATATGGACCTAGATCAAATGTAGCCAGGAAGGGAGGCAGGGGAGATGGGGAATTATTCTTTAATGGGTATAGCCTTTCTGTCTGGGGTGGGAAAGTTCTGGAGCTAGAGAGTGGTGTGGTGCACAGTATCGATTTTATATATATATATATATATATATATATATATATATATATATATTTAACACTACTGAATTATAGACTGAAATCTGTATGTTGTCGTGTTATGTATGTTCTACCACCAAAATAAGTAGGTTGCACTGAAACTAACTCATGTCTTTAAGCAATCTGGACAGAAGTTTCTCATGGGCCTGCACTGAAAAGAACTGCTCTTTAGGCAAACCCGTGGGAGTTCCCTTCCCCAGCCCCAGGCTCTCAGCTGGCTTGTCTGCTTGCTGATAGCTCTGGGCTCCTGATAAGTTCTTCTCTTTTAGTTTGGATCCCTCTGCTCTTTGGGTCCTCTTTTTGGGTCCCTCTCCCACCTCTTTCTTTCTCTTTTTTTGGACAGGGTTTCTCAGTGTAGCCCTGGCTGTCCTGGAACTCACTCTGTAGACCAGGCTGGCCTTGAACTCACAGAGATCCCTGCCTCTGCCTCTGCCTCCTTAAAGGCATGTGCCACCACGCCCAGCATTTCTGTGATTTCTTTGTGCCTTTTTCCTGCTTTTCCTTCTGCCTTTTTCTTGTAACGTTTCTCAGAGCCCTACCCTCTGCTACACACCATGCTTGAAGAAGCAAGGTCAGGGGCTTGCACTGGATTACTCACCGGCCTCTCATTGTGGCCTACTCTGATACTGTTCTATCACATATTCGGGGCCTCTCAGCTGTGTGGCCTCCGTGGACTGTTTCTGTGACACATTAGCCCAGGTATACATGTTAGTTTCCTTCCTGATCCCTAGGCTGTCTAACTGGCCCCATGCCTGCCTCTCTCCAACCATAGCAGCTTGGCTTCTCTTAACTCCTGTCCTGAAACTTGTTGGGTCAACTTCCAGTTGTTATAGCTTAGCATCCCTTATGTCAATCATTCTTAAATTTTGAGCTGGACTGAGACCGAGTTTTGTCCCTGGTGAAAAGGAGCATACATTTTAGTAGAAGGTTGGCATTGTGCTTTTTATTTCCCTCTGAAGTATTGGGTCTCTTCACTGGGTAAAAAGTTAGGAACTCCATGTAGAGTCTCCCACAGTCTCTGCTTTGTGATAGTGTCCTGCTTTGGGTCCTCCCCACCCCTTGTCTTCACTTACCAGCTGGTGGTCCAGGCTTTGCCTAGTGACTTCCAGAGAGAAATCTCAGGTGGATTTAGACAGGACTGCAGCAGGTCTATGGCTTTCGGGGTGAGGAGGGGTGAAATCACTTTGGTTGTAAGGCCAGCCTCAGGGCACTGGGACAGGATCTGGAGGAGAGGTAGAAAGAGAAGACACCAGTAACCAAGGTAAGGAGGGAGTGGGAATTGTCCACAAACCCCTCAGCTCTGTCTCCTCGCTTTCTGCCTGTTCCCCCAAAGTTTTGGTGTCCTTGACTCTGTGGCTAGCCCATCAGGTCTGTGGGGGGGGGGTTGCATGTTGAATAAAGGACAGGTCCCACAGCTCCCTCCGTCCTCCCTCTGTTCCTCCTTGGCTTCAGCTTGTCCCTTTTCCCACGCTGTCTGCCCTCCACTCACGAATTTCAGGGTTTGGAAGATGAGGTCCACGAACTCAGGGGCACTTGTTTCCTGCAGCCGTAAGGCCAGCTTCCCCTGAAGACAAAGCCAATGTTGGTTCCCATTTACTTTCACCAGAACCCTAGCATCCCGTGGCTCAGCCTGGTACCCTTCAAAAGTTCCAAGAGAAGGAGAGTCTTGGGAAGAAGAAGAAAGAAGGAAAAAGAGAAGAAAGAAAGGAAGAAGGGAAAGGCTTGGGTGTCTGACATCAGAGAGAAAGGGAGCTAGGGGAGAAGGGGCCAGAACTGGCCGGAACCACTAACCAGGAGGTTGAAGCTGAACTTGATCTTTTGGAAGCAATCAATATACTGTGCTTGTGTTATCTCTGTGGGAGAAAGAATAAATCTGAGGTCTCCAGGCCCTCTTGAAATACCCCTGCTCCCCTCCCCTGCATGAAGCACTTACTGTTTTGAGCCTTGTTCTTTTTTCTCCCAAATTTTTTCTTCTTATGGCTATCCATTACTATGGCCTCCTTCAGCATTCCAGCAAACAGCTCGATGTCTCTTAGAACATGGTTCAGCACTTCCTGGACCCCCAACAACCAATGGCTTTCAGTGAAAAGTCATGAAAACCCCAAACTCACCCCTGCCCTGCTATCATCCCACCATAAGCACCTCAGTTCCAGCCCCGCCCTGTCTACCCTGGGAATTCGGGTTCCTGACAGTCGATTCTCCCTTTTCCCCAAGTCCAGGAAGCCCCAGCAAGCCTCTGACCCCCTTCAGTTACCTCATCCCTCTCTGGGTCCTCAGGAGATGGAGCACGCCTTGGAGGAGGAGGCAGAGTGAAGTCACTTGGTTCTTGGGCACTTGGGTAGTGTATCAGGGACCTTGGGGATGGTGAGATGCCTGCGATGGACATGGGGAGACCATGAGCCTAGAACTTCTTTGACTTGGCCCAAACCTCCTCCTCCATTTGCCTTCAGGCAAAACTTACTTCGTTCTGGGGTCATGTGGGGTGGGTGTTCTAGAGGAAACCTCTGCTCCACAGGGGGTGCCTGTCGTATGGGGATTGGCCTTTCCAGAGGATATTCCTTCCGTCTGTCCTGGCCTGGATGAAGGACTCCAAATCGAGGTCTGTGGGGGCATGCATGGTGAAAGATATTGTCTTGATAAAATTCTTGAGACAGATAGATACCTAAGCCCACACTTGTGCCCCAGAGCACATGGGCATCACCATCTCTCACTAGGAACCCCGCTCCTGCCCCTTCGTCTCTACTTGAGCCTTCCCTGACTTCACTGGGCTTCACCTGCCTGGATCCTGGGCCTGCCTGGATTCTACAATGACCTCTGGAGATAGCAACCAATGCACTCAGTACCTTCCCAACACCCTTCATTGGTCTAAGCCTCCATTAGCTCTTGGCACGTGACTGTTAGGTCCCAGGATCATAAGTTCTCCAAATGTATGGCCATAATATGACCCTCATGCCTGAGCCAGAGGGCCCTGCCTGTATGTCACTGGACAGAGTCAGCTTACCTTTCTTCTAGCTCTTCCTCCAGGGCCTTCTGCAGACTTGTCCTCAGTTGCTCTGCCTGGAGGAAGCAGTCAATTAAGTGTGTGTGTGTGTGTGTGTGTGTGTGTGTGTGTGTGTGTGTGTGCATGCGCGTGCATGCATGTGCGCGTGCACGCCTGTATAATGGGCATCAAACTCCTGGCCACTACACCGGTCACTCACCCCCACCTCCTGGCATTGGAAGAGCAAAGTGCTGGTGGCTGGCAGGCCGGACTCCTGCACAGTGACGGATAAGATGGAGTTGTATGAGCAGGTGTTGAGTGCTGCATCGATGGCCTTGATGTTGTCCAGGCGGTAAGAATCTAAGTCCTCCTAAGGCAGGTGGAAAGGCCAAGTATAAGGTCACTGAGAGCCACTGAGACCTGGGAAGTTCATCCCTGCTCTCAGGTGGGCTGGGTAGAGTCTCTACCCTGATTCTTATGTCTCTACCCCCAGTCCCATCCCTTCTCTCCCTGGTTTGGGATGTGTATTGGATGTGGAGAGGCAATGAGAGGCAGGTGGAGAGCCTGGTGCTTGCTCGTTAGCATCCTGGGTTTGCCAGGGCCCATGGCTGGGTTTGCTGAGAAGGCTGACCTTAGTCTCAATGTCCAGCAGCTGGAGCCAGCCATCTCTGACCTGCAGGATCAGGTCTTGGCTCCACACTCGACCCTGTGCATCCATCTCCTGAAGCTTCTGTAGGGCATCCTTCGGTTCCCGGACTCTCTGTGTCCCCAGCTTACATGTCATCAGATGCTAAGGGGACAGGAAGAGACTGGTGTGGGAGAAGGTTTAGAGAGAGGGGATCCCACATGGCGGCAAGCAGGGAAAAGGCAGGATGTGTGTCCTTGGCTCCCCCTGTGGGGAGCTCAAGCTTTTCAATGAAGTAGGAACCTATAGAAGTTTGGATCTAGAAGAGGCTTCTAGGACTAGGACTAAGGGGTTCTGGAACTCCAAAGGAACCACCATATAAGGTGACCTGGTGGTCAGGGGTGTGGGTTCCAATCACACAACAAAATCAACCATGTTCCTGTGTGTGGGTTCTAGGACCTTTCTGGTTCCCTTTGCTGCATTTAGGAACAGTTGTCTTCAGTTTGTTCCCCCCCCCCCCATACACACACACACATTTACTGACCTCACATGCCTGACCCCTGCCTTTTTCCATACTCTTGCCCATACCCAGACATCTTTCCAACTATGCCAACCCAGTGCCACAGGGCTCTCGGGAAGACCAAGTGTCCTCTTTCTGAGTCTTGCGTGGAGAGCTCTAGCCATCACTGGCTCCCTGGTCCTTATCTTCTGCAGATCCCGTTGTTTGGCAGCATTTCCCTGGGCCGCCCTCCTCTAGAGATTCCTGTCTTCCCACAGCCAAATGTCACCTTCCTGAGTCATCCTCCATTTGCTCCAGTCTTCTGCTGGAGCAAAGCAGTCTACCCCCTGCCCCTGGACCCTCGATCCTCACTCCCACTCATGTGTAGCTCCTCTCACTGCCCCCACACACTGCACCCACACTCCACTGCATACACACTTCCAGCTCCTCAGCAGAGCCTACAGACCTGTCATCGTGAATGTGCCTCCTCTTGCTCTGCCTGATGGGCCTCAGTAAGCCAGTTCCCAGCCCCACTCTACAGAGAAGCTGAACAGTGGCTGGGAAGCACTGAGGCTACTGGGGGGGGTTCTATGCCCCCTCCCATGCACTGTGGCCACCACCATGTCCCTAGTTTAGCAAGCTATCTGACCACATCCTTGCAGTTTAAAAAGCCAATTCAAATGACTAGATCTCAGAGTGCCAGCTATCCATTTGGGTGGGGCCAGAGATTCCATTGCAGTGGCTCAGCCTGGCCTTGGAGTACAGGACAACTCTCCCCTCTGTGACACTGTCCCTTGTAGCTACAACCCTCATACCTTCTTCCCCACAGGAAGTGGGCTGGGAACAAAGGGGTTGGTAGGACGGCTTTCTGCGGGTCTTGACTACACACTCTGTCATTCCTGCTAGGGACCCAGTATCCACCCCTACAACCTCCAGCTGGGCTTGCTCTGTCCACCCTGGGACTACTCTCTACTCTCCTGTACTTGGCAGATGTTCAGGCCTCAGGCTTGCTGAATCTGACTCCATAGAGTTCAGTCAGGTTGAGCTGTCATGTCAGGGTCAGGTGTATTTATGTTTTGGTAAGGCAGTGGACACACCGGAACTCAAAGCTTTACTCAGAAACTGCCTGACCCCAGGGGTACTTACCTCAACCCTGTGCTGTAGGAGGGTGGGTTCTGAGGCCAAACTCTGGGAATATTCCTTCCGGTGCACTGTGGGTACAAAGGCAAGGGCACGGGTAGCAGGAATGAGGTGAGGCTTGGACAATCACAGGGGCAGTGGAGAAGATGGGGTTCAGGGAGCTTGGCCCAGAGAGGAGCTGAGCAGGATAGGGGAGGCAGGAAGCTTACAGTAGATGGCTCTGCTGCTGGGCCGGGACATGTTGACACTGCTGAGGACAGCTTCCTAGAATCACAATGAACCAGAGACAGTCATTAGACTAAGGGACAGAAATACAGGGTCCATCTATCTGACTGCTGTTGCTCTGACCTGGGAACTCTGTGACCACATCTGAAGCCCTTAGCTCCAGGGGACCTCCTCAGAGTCATCTGCATCCAACACCCTGCCCAAGAAGTCATGTTAGGCTTGGAGGCCATGGGCCAGGGAAGAAAGGGCCTGGGGCAGGGGGCACATGAATGGCCTCCCACTATTTGAATCTGGGTTCAGATCTTACTCTGGGGTTAGATGTAAAAGATGTCAGGGATGAGTTGCTTCTGTGGGGAGGTCAGAGGGCTCAGTTGCTCTCCCTGCATAGCAAGCCTCTTGTCCAGCCCTGCTTTAATTCTGCAGACAGGAAAGAAGCTCCTTCTAATGATGGTGCCTGGAAGAATGTGTGTGTGTGTGTGTGTGTGTGTGTGTGTGTGTGTGTGTGTGTGTTAGATACAGAGACAGACAGACAGACAAACAGATAGACAGATATGGGAGGGGGTCCTATGCAGAACTTGCTGGATGTCTGACCACCACTCCTGCTCTCTTCCTTCTGGTGTTCCAGATTCTTCCCGGACACCCCCCGCCCCCCAGCAGTCTAAATCCAGCTCACAGCCAACTGGCTGGTAGAACATTCTTTAACCACCACCTTCCCAAATGCTGTTTTCAGCATCGTCCATTCCTCACCAACAACAGGAGTGGTCACAGCAGCCTTGACGGCACTCTGTGCCTGCTGCCAAGCCCCTCCTGACCCTGCTACGTTTAGTCTTCACCGCTGTTCACCCACTGGTACTTATTCAGCACAAATGGTGAGCACCACTGTAAGGTCACCTTCAGTGACCCAGCTAATATTCAAAACAACCCCAGAGCTGGAGCCATTACCCTCTCTTCTCAGATGAGGACTCTGATATTCAAAGAGGATGACAGGCCTAGGAGCACAGGGACTGTTTCATAGGGAAATGAGCCAGAACTGTCTGGCTTACAAATGTGTCCCTGTCACTAGGTGGTGGACATAGAGGGGGCCTAGAGCGCACATCTTTTGGAATGGAGTGGAGTTAAATGTCATGAGTTTGTGTGTGCTGGATGTATGGAGGAGTCAAGGGAACGATTGATTATTTGTGTGCATTTGTCATGACTTTGAGTATCTCCGTGCCTCTATCCTTATCTGCTTGGCGCACTTCAGCTGTTTGTCCTGACCAAAGTGTAAGGAAGCGCCCATACCTGTTTATCGGGACTGTTATGAAAATGACGGAGATCTATTAAGGTGACTCATAGATGGAAAAACGATTTGCCAGTGAGCGTCATGGGAACATAGAGGAGGCGGCTGATCTCTGTTCCCCTCCTTGGGAGAACCCCTTTCCTAGATAAGAGCAAGTGGTGCTGGAAGCCTGACCCTTTCCTCTGCCTCCTTACCTCCCTGGCCAGTGGCATTCAGTTCCCTGCTCTTACACACCAGTGTGGTTGCTGTGGGTGCCAAGGGTTCCTGTGGGCTGGCAGGGGTAATTCAACAGTTACCGCTAAAGACCCGCATCGCAGGGTTGAGGTGCTGCTTGACCTGCCTGGCCCCTTTTAGTGTCAGGCATTGACCTTCGCTCTCCCTTGTGGAGCTGTACAAAGCAAGGTGGAGGTATCTACCCTGGGGGAGGCCCCTTGCTCTTCCTAGTCTCCAGTCGGTGGCTAAATTCCTGAAGGTTAGTCCTTCTTCCTAAATCTAAGAAGAGGCTGGGAGATGTCCCAACCCTGAGATGCCCATGTTGGCCCCAGGATCTCCTAACCTTGCTATTCCCGGGAGATGGGCTCTTACCTGAGTAGCAGTGTAGCTGAATGTCTGGTCCCCCAGGAGGCTGATGGTTGAGCTAGTGGTCCAGTGCTGTTGGAGTGAGTTCTGTTTGGCCTCTCTGCCTGCTGCCTCAGGCAGAGACCTACTGACGATCAGGTGGCCTGTGAGGGAAAAAGCAGGCTTTGAGGAAGCCACACCTGTGGTCTTTGGACTCTGGAGGGTGGGGAGGCCTCTCAGGCTACCAACCGCCCAGCACTGAAGTGGATCTGAGGAAGTGTCTGTGCCAATAGGTATGAGAGCTTGACCAGAGACCCCTGCTTCCCAGCTTCCTCCTTGTCGGCCTCTGACCTTGGGTGTGGCCCCTCACATCCACGCTTTTTCCATATCTCCTCTGAGGCCCTGGGATAGTGTCGGGTACTGCAGGAACAAGAAAAGGCACACGTGGTCTCATGAGCCTGTTTTCTGTGTTAGGGGCAGGCCTCAGATGGACAAGAGGCTCAAGACAAGTTTTGCATTAGTACGTGTGTTTTATGCTTATGTACTGTACCCATGGGCATGGGATCATTGTACTCAGGCCATGCCTGTGAATAGGACATTGCTTGTCAGGGAAGATGGGGTGGGGCCCAGGGCCACTTGGGCATGACACACAGGGCTGAGGCTTCTTTCAGGGTTCATCCTGGTCATGTCCATCTTCTGTCCCCTGCCACTCAGTAGAAGCCCTCCCTTCTACTCACCCTTGTTCTTTATTCTTTCTTCCTCACACTGTCTCACGGTCCTAGGCTCTAGCGGATAGGTAACATTCAGTAAAGAAGGGCAACAAAGGCCTCCCTTTGTCAATGTTCAAGAACATGCCCATTTCGTGCCTTTTGCTTTATTTAAAAAATCTCCTGTGAAGGCAGGCCAGACTCCTTGCCTTCTGGGAACTCACAGCTCAATGTAGGAAGCCAGGAACAAATTGATATCAAAGGACCAAGGCAGAAGGACAAGGATGGGGAATGGACAGGGATGGTGATGTGAGAGCTGAGCCTCTTGGGACAGAGCCTCAGGCCCTGCTGTAGTGGAGACTTCTTTGGAGCATAGAACTGTAGCCTGTTGTTCTGCTCCCCACCATTCATCCTACACTGTCCTGATGGCCTAGAGCTCAGGGATGGGACCCAGGGAGGGATCTCTCGACCTGAATTGGTGTGGGCCCCCAGGAAAGTCCGTTGGGCAGCCAATTTCTAGTGTCTAGAGATCAAACTGCCTGTGTTGGATCAGTACCCAGCCATGGTTTTGTGTGAACTAGACATTGCTGGGCCTTTGTTTCTCTGAGCCTCAGCCTTATGGACAGCTTTCAGGTTTGAATAGCCTGTTTTTCATCACCCTCCCGGGCACAGCTCCATCAAGGCCACAGTCATATTCCATTCTCAGCCCTAGCTTGGGTGACCAGACCCTGTCCTTCCTGTGGCCCTTTCCCCAAGTCAATGTGATCACATCAGGGATTCCCATAGGAGGCCTGGGGACAGGATTGGGCAGAGACTCATCCCATAATAGACACCGGGCTGACATCTTTGGGCGGAGAAAGATGAGTGTCACCAGGCACTGTCAGTGTTGTGAACTCCGTGGTACCCTTTGGGTGTCCTTAGAGACATCAGGCAGGAGCCTGGGAAGGTCTGAAGCCAGGACTGGGGTTTTTCATGTCAGGCATTGTGGAAATTGGCTAGCGTGGGGCCTCAGAGGGGGAGGGCATTATGAAGCACAGAGAGGCCAGGCTACTCACCCTTGGGATGGACAATGGTGCTTCCTCATGAAGACAGTTCTGGGTCCCAAGTAACCCTGGCTGAGGGATGAGGAGCTGGGCCTTGGGTGAGAAGGAAGCAGAACTCAGGGAGCATCTCCCTGAAATGATGAGGCTCCAGAGACCAGGGGACCTCACTTTGTTCATCAGTTCATGTATTCTCAGACTCCTGTCACGTACTGTTCCAGGGGCTAGAACACACTTGGAGGGTCACAGCCACCTCAAACCCTGAGTTCATCACCTCCCTCCAAACATCTCTGCCCCCTCTCCCACATTCCCACCTCTGCGCATCCCGGGGGGATCTGGCATCATTGCTTAGTCCTCCTTGAGTGCCCACATCACCTCTTGCCTGGGTCCCACCTCCTCCATGCATGGCCGATCATCCCTGCCCTCCCCCTGTGTGACTGTCCCCTTCAGGCCCTGTCACATTTTCTGCCTCTGAGTACAGTAGTGCCCTAACTTGGAACCTTGCGCCCACCCTTGCTCATCTTAATCCTCCCTCTTGGCAATGGATGTGAGAGGCTCTTCCTAGAGTGGGAATCTGATTAACCATTTTTGAACCCAAACCACTTCAGCTTCAGGATAAAACCCCAACTGGCATCACAGCAGGTGCGGCCCTTCTTCAAGTCCAGACTCCTGCTGTAAATATGCCTTATCTCCCGCCACCCGCTGTCCCTTGCACTTTACCCTCCCCTTTGAGGACATCTTGTAATCCCATTTGAGTCATAGCTCTGCACCTGACTAGGTGTCCTCACTGCCTGGGATGCCTACTGGAAACACCTGCTGTATACATCTCAGCTCTTTGGGTGGCTCTTGCCTCCTGAGAAGTCTTCTCCCAGCCTAGGGCTGTGACGATTCTGGCCCTTGGCTCCTGGATACCTGCTGCATGTGTTCTTCTATGACTTCATGACTCACACGAAGGGCCATGTCCCCATATGAAAAGAGAAGGACTTGTAAACATCTGTTGCATGGTGATGTAGAAGACACCAACGGCCGTGCCCTGTTTGAACACATCAGGAAGACACTCTAAGGGGGAATGGATGGGGTCAACCCTTCAGGCCAGACAGAGGAAGTGGGAAGGGGTGTCAGGTAGAGGCTGTGATGATTCTTTTGGATGGAGAGGTAAAATGCATAGTAAGAAGCTGGGTGAGACCACGGTCCAAACTCAGCCCCTGTCTCCGTTTCTGTCTCTGCATACAGTGGCATGTGTGTGTCTTCATCACCCATTAGCGAGTAGATTCTTTAAGAGATTTGACAGAAGTAGATAATGAGGTGACCTCTGTAGCCCTGGAAGGCCTTGCTGTTTCGGGGTGCTCGTTATACAAAGAGGCTGCTGGTGGGGATTTCAGCCATGTACACAGTTTTCAGAATGAAGGGCCCAAGGAGCCCCTCAGAGACATCTTTGCTTTATGGGTAGCAAACTTGGATTCCTTAGAAGTGCCAGAACAGGCTCTGCCCAGAGGTGGAGAGCTCCACAGGCTCTGGGGGAAAGATCTTTTTACTACAGGTGTGTGTGGGTGGGTGGGGGGGGAAGGTAGGGGCAAGTCACTTCTCTGAGTAAACAAAGGAATGGACAGGAGGGAAGAAGCTCTTCCCCCAGAAGCTTACATTTGTGAGGTAGAAGAGACAAATTCACACAGTGATAATAACCAGGGTCTTGATAAGTGAGGGAAGGCAATGGAGGAGGGATATGGGTGAGAACATGTGAAGGTTGGGAAGCAGCTGGGGAGTGTGGCTGCAGAGAAGAGCCCTGGGAAGAGGGAGCTGAGGGCAGTGGGCAAGAGCCAGAAAAGCGGATCGGCTAGGCAAAGGTCGTGCAGCTAGGAAGGAAGCCAGGGCTGTTGTAGACTGGTTAATGGGAGTGGCAGCCTGAGATGGCAGCAGTGGCCAGAACACACAGCACACAGGTCTCGCAGGAGTCTGGCTCCTGTTCAGGATTGTCAGAGGACACTGAAGTTTGGAGGAGGGGCATGTTCTGTTTTATAGTCTTTGCCTTTGCCTGTGCTGGGGATGATGTGTTGTGATGGGGGTGGGGTGGAGGCTAGCTCAAGGGACCTGGATGGTGAGTGGGCAGTGAAGATGGAGACAGGGTGCTGGCGCATTGGCGACAGATGTGCTACCCTAGACTAGTGGATTGGGAGCCGGGCTGAGGGCACTGGCTGGTTATGTCACATTTGGTGTAGAAGTTTGGGAGACGGCTGAGCAAACAGTCCAGGCTCACCTCAGTGGCACCTCCTTTTACCAGTCCCTTGGATCTCCAGCTGGAAGTGTAAGGGCGGCAGGGGCAAGATCGAAAGGGGCTGTGCAGAACGCAGTCGCCCCAAACCCCAGATCACAGGACCCATGGTGAAAGGGGAGAGCTGATTCCTGGAAGTTGTGTTCTCTGGCCTCCACAGCTCCCATGTGCACACACACTGTAAAAAAATGTGATAAAACATTTAAAAATACCATTTCAAACAAAACAAAAATGAGAGCAAAACAAGAAAACCCCAGAAAATACCTAATAAAAAGCCACGAATTTAGCTGGGCCGTGGTGGCACACACCTTTAATCCCAGCATTTGGAAGGCAGAGGCAAGTAGATCTCAGTGAGTCCGAGGCCAGCCTGGTCTACAAAGGGAGTTCCAGGACAGCCAGAGCTGTTACACAGAGAAACTCTGTCTTGAAAAACAAAAACAAAACAACAACAATAACAAAACACACTAATTTCTGTTAGTGGTCACACTGCTGTGAAATGTATCTCATCTCACATTAACATTGCTGAAGACAGTGTCTCTGCCGTGAGGCTTGCGGTGATGATGTTTGTCTTGGTTAGTTTCAGGGACTTGGCAGCAACTTCTGTTAAAAGCATTGTCCTGGCTGAAGATGGCACTGTGGTTAAAAGCACTGGATGCTCTTCCACAGGACCTGGGTTCGATACCCAGCGCCTACCTGGCATTCCACAACCATCTGTAACTCCAGTTTCGGGAGGCCCTGGAGCCCTCTGAGGGCACCATGCTTGCATGTAGGGCACAGAAATCCATTCAGGAAAATACTCGCCCACATAAATGAATCAATGTTTTTAAAAAGCATTGACCGACCACCCGGGCTGCTAGAAGTTGACAGGAGAGAAGTGGGGTAAAAGGCTTGACATCTCGGTCTTCACCTCACATCTGAGTCATTTATTACCTGAGCATTAGTGTCTTAGTTACAGCTTCTATTGTTGTGATGAAACACCATGAGCAAAAAGCAGGCTGGGGAGGAAAGGGTTTATCTGGCTTACACTTCCGTATCTGATCATCATCAAGGAAGTCAGCACAGGAACTCAAACAGGGCAGGAACCTGGAGGCAGGAGCTGATGCAGACGCCATGGAGGGGTGCCTTTTAGACAATGGGTACATAGAGTTGGGTTCAGAAGCAGACCTTCAGGTGCGCTTAGATGCCACTGTCTCAGGACAGGAAATAGGGTTAGGACCTCAGCAGTACCCCATTTCCTAGTC